TTTGTTTTTTTGTTACTAGTAATGGCAGCGATCGGCGACTTATAGCAGGGCTGTGGTGCACATTCTGACACTGGGGGGAACTGACTTGGTGTCACTGATATCCCCGGTGACACCAATACAGTGATCAGTACTAAAAAAGCACTGACACTCTACTAATGGCACTGGGCAGGAAGGAGTTAACATGAGGGGCGATCGAAGGGTTAACTGTGTGCTGGGAGCAGGGGCGGACTGACCATTGGCACTGCCCGAGGGCCAGGGGTCAGTAGGGGGCCCTATGAGATGCTCCTGGTACCTTTTTCATAGGCTTTTTTGAGTTTGGGCAAGGACACAGGGGCCCCATGATCCCCTATTGCCCGGGGGCCCCATGAGTTGTCAGTCCGCCCCTGGCTGGAAGTGTTTTACTAGGGGACGGTGTCAGTGTGCTTCACTGTAATCACACTGCTTTGGAAGGCTGTGCTGTGCACAGCCATCCAAACAGTGTGCCCGAGCTGACAGGGAGGAGGACTGTTAGTAAACAAAACAGTTCTCCTCCCTGTCGGAGATCCTCAGAAATCACCGGGCACCGGCGAGTAATCACCGGCCAGGACCTGGTGATTAACAGTCGCGACCGCTACTCGCGCACGCTCCCTACCCGGAAATGCAAAATCACGTATATATACGTGATTTTGCGCACCCATGTCGCCCTGTAGCAGTATTTCTGCTATAGGGTGGTCGGGAAGTGGTTAAAGCTGAATTCCAGGTATGGTTTGTTTTGCACAGATTGTGATGTTATTGCCCAACCTCTCCACCTTGTCCAATCAGAGAACGCTTTGCAATCATGAAGAAAAATGCAAGGCATTCTATGAATGGTAGTCTTGCTAAGTGAGCAAATTAAGATTAGTATATGGCCATTCCTGTTCATCTTTTGTTAAATAAGTTTGAAAACTTCCAGGGCATGGCTGGCCTTCTGGTGGTCAGCTTTAGGTCAATCTTTATTGGTTAATTCTCCCCCTGGATCTCTTGTTAGGACTCCAGCTACTCCCTCTGTTGATGCTTTTTAGGGTTCCTTTGGGTCTTTTGATTTGCCTAGTGCAGCTGCTCTTCCCCTTCTCCTGTGGCCTCCTCTTGGTTCTACTACATGTTACTGCCAGAGATTCCTCTGGGTCTTTCTGCATGTTGGGCTTTTTGCTTCATAGGAAGTGTACACTCACTCTCTTTACCTTCTTGGGCAAATGGGCGCACATAATCTCATTGACCCATGTTCCTTCAAAAGGGCATCTAACTGGATTCACTAAGACCTAGTTCATACTGGCATTGAAAACATGCATTTCAAGGGCATTTTTAAAGCTCCTCAAACGCCTATGCAAATGATACTATGGGCAGCAAACAGTGTTGTTCACATTATCAACCGATTTTGAAGCCTCATGTCGAGTCAGGAGGAGTTTGAAGCCTTTCAGTGCCTCCCATTCAAGTCTGTGGTGACACTCCTCAAAAGCACTGGCAGGCATTTACGTGGCAATTGCGGAGCGGTTACGGAGCATTAATAAGTTTACAGTTTGTGGTGTGGTTTTAACACTCGAACGCTTATAAAATGCTTAAAAACTGCACATATGGCATTTAGGGAGCATTTTTAATGCTTGTAAAAAGCCAGTCTAACACCCTTTATACTTTATACTAAAGCTGATTGACGCCTGTCTGACGCCTATACTAAGGCTGATTGACGCCTGTCTGACGCCTATACTAAAGCTGATTGACGCCTGTCTGACGCCTATACTAAAGCTGATTGACGCCTGTCTGACGCCTATACTAAAAAGCTGATTGACGCCTGTCTGACGCCTATACTAAAGCTGACTGATGCCTCTCTAACGCTTATACTAAAGCTGATTGACGCCTCTCTAACGCTTATACTAAAGCTGATTGACGCCTGTCTGACGCCTATACTAAAGCTGATTGACGCCTGTTTGATGCCTATACTAAAGCTGATTGATGCCTAACGCCTATACTAAAGCTGATTGACGCCTGTCTGACGCCTATACTAAAGCTGATTGATGCCTGTCTGACGCCTATACTAATGCTGATTGACACCTGTCTGACGCCTATACTAAAGCTGATTGACGCGTCTGAAGCCTATACTAAAGCTGATTGACGCCTGTCTGACGCCTATACTAATGCTGATTGACGCCTGTCTGATGCCTATACTAAAGCTGATTGACGCCTGTCTGACGCCTATACTAATGCTGATTGACGCCTGTCTGATGCCTATACTAAAGCTGATTGCCGCCTGTCTGACGGATATACTAAAGCTGATTGACGCCTGTCTAATGCCTATACTAAAGCTGATTGACGCCTGTCTGACGCCTATACTAAAGCTGATTGACGCCTGTCTGACGCCTATACTAAAGCTGATTGGCGCCTGTCTGACGCCTATACTAAAGCTGATTGGCATCTGTCTGACGCCTATACTAAAGCTGATTGACTCCTGCCTGACTCCTATACTAAAGCTAATTGACGCCTGTCTGACGCCTATACTAAAGCTGATTGACGCCTGTCTAATGCCTATACTAAAGCTGATTGACGCCTGTCTGATGCCTATACTAAAGCTGATTGCCGCCTGTCTGACGGATATACTAATGCTGATTGACGCCTGTCTGATGCCTATACTAAAGCTGATTGCCGCCTGTCTGACGGATATACTAAAGCTGATTGACGCCTGTCTAATGCCTATACTAAAGCTGATTGACGCCTGTCTGACGCCTATACTAAAGCTGATTGACGCCTGTCTGACGCCTATACTAAAGCTGATTGGCGCCTGTCTGACGCCTATACTAAAGCTGATTGGCATCTGTCTGAAGCCTATACTAAAGCTGATTGACTCCTGCCTGACTCCTATACTAAAGCTAATTGACGCCTGTCTGAAGCCTATACTAAAGCTGATTGACGCCTATCTGACGCCTATACTAAAGCTGATTGATGCCTGTCTGACGCCTATACTAATGCTGATTGACGCCTGTCTGAAGCCTATACTAAAGCTGATTGACGCCTGTCTGACGCCTATACTAAAGCTGATTGACGCCTGTCTGACGCCTATACTAAAGCTGATTGGCGCCTGTCTGACGCCTATACTAAAGCTGATTGACGCCTGTCTGACGCCTATACTAATGCTGATTGACGCCTGTCTGAAGCCTATACTAAAGCTGATTGACGCCTGTCTGACGCCTATACTAAAGCTGATTGACGCCTGTCTGACGCCTATACTAAAGCTGATTGACGCCTGTCTGACGCCTATACTAAAGCTGATTGATGCCTGTCTGACGCCTATACTAAAGCTGATTGACGCCTAACGCCTATACTAAAGCTGATTGACGCCTGTCTGACGCCTATACTAAATCTGATTGACGCCTGTCTAATGCCTATACTAAAGCTGGTTGACGCCTGTCTGACGTCTATACTAAAGCTGATTGATGCCTGTCTGACACCTATACTAAAGCTGGTTGACGCCTGTCTGACGCCTATACTAAAGCTGATTGACGCCTGTCTGACGCCTATACTAAAGCTGATTGATGCCTGTCTAACGCCTATACTAAAGCTGATTGACGCCTGTCTGACGCCTATACTAAATCTGATTGACGCCTGTCTAATGCCTATACTAAATCTGATTGACGCCTGTCTAATGCCTATACTAAAGCTGGTTGACGCCTGTCTGACGCCTATACTAAAGCTGATTGACGCCTGTCTGACACCTATACTAAAGCTGGTTGACGCCTGTCTGACGCCTATACTAAGGCTCGTTCACACTAGGCTGTTTTGCCAACGCTTGCCAACCGCCCCTATAGCGTTTGGCAAGCGTTGGTCCGGTGTTTGCGGAGCGTTTTTAACGCTCGGCAAACGCTCCGCAAACGCCGCATGCGCGGTTTAGCGGCGGTTGCTAGGCATTTGCCGAGCGTTAATAACGCCCCACAAACGCCTATAATGCATTTGAGTGGTGTTACCGCTCCGAAAACACCCCGCAACCGCGTCGCAACCGCACCGCAAACGCCGGCCGGGCGTTTGCGGAGCGGCACCATAGACGAGAATAGGAGGCTTCAAAGCCTCCTGACTCGACCAGAGGCGTCCGTTTTGCCGCGACGCAACGCGACGCGATGCAAACGCTCCTGTTAGAACAGCACCATGTGCTGTAATGTGCAGAATTGGCAGAGGCGTTTGGGAAGCGGTAAAAACGCTTCCCAAACGCCTCTCTGCCGCCTGCACACAAGGCTAGTGTGAACGTAGCCTAAAGCTGATTGATGCCTGTCTAACGCCTATACTAAAGCTGATTGACGCCTGTCTGACGCCTATACTAAAGCTGATTGATGCCTGTCTGACGCCTATACTAAAGCTGATTGATGCCTGTCTGACGCCTATACTAAAGCTGGTTGACGCCTGTCTAACGCCTATACTAATGCTATAAGAGTGTTTGATAGGCGTTAGAAATTTAGTCAAGTGTGAACAAGCCCTAATAGAAACTACCAGCTCCCCCCAATTCTGCCAGATCACTTTTGCACCATCTACCCCTGGTTGGTTTTGACCAATGCTTTTTAGAGCATCATTCTGTGTTTGACCCCCTGGCATAGTTTTACTTACTCTAGGTTCAGCTCTGAATTGTTTGCTAGTTTTTTACATTAGGTCATGGCCACCATGCTGATGCTCTATAATCCATCATGTAAGTTCCCGGCGTTCCAGAGAGTATTGAGCCATGCAAATGAAAGTGTGTCAGAAAGGCTTTTATTCATAACAAGCATGTGCTGCAACCATGGATATGAGCCAAACAAAGGGAGGGATTTACTAAAACTGGAACACTCAAAATTTGGTGCAACTGTGCATGATAGCCAATCAGCTTCTAGCTTCAGCTTGTTCAATTAACCGCCTCCCACCCGCCATATAAGGAAATGACAGATGGGTAGCAGTTCTCTTGTCCTGGGAGAAAGTCATATGATGTCCTCCCACTCTAACTACACGTGCGCGAGGGGTGTACAGAGCGGAAATCAGTGGTGCACTGCGCCCCTGGGACACAGCGGATCACCAATCAGCAGAAAGAGCCGATGACGTCGGCTCTGTCATGTGATCAGCTGTGTCCAATCACAGCTGATTGCATGTAAATAAGGAAATACTGGTTATCGGCATTCCTCTCCTCACGAGCTGTCACGCTGACAGCTCGGGAGGAGAGCCGGTAATCGGCATTTCTCAGAGGGGACATTCACAGTGCCCTGATGATCAGTGTAGCCCCATCAGTACCACCTGTAAGTGCCCATCAATGCCACCAGCCAGTGCCCATCAATGCCACATATCAGTGCCTACCAGTACACATCAATGCCACATATCAGTACTCATCTGAGCTGCCTTTCAGTGCCAACTATCAGTGACACCTGTCAGTGCAGCCTATCAGTGCCCGTCAGTGCCACCTATCAGTGCTGCCTATCAGTGCCATATATGAGTGCTGCCCTTCAGTGCCCATCAGTGATGCCTGTCAATGCCCATGAGTGCCAACTACCAGTGCCTCCCCATCAGTGTTGCCTATCAGTGTCCATCAGTGCAGCCTATCAGTGCCCATCACTGCAGCCTCATTAGCACACATCAGTGAATGAGAAAAAATTACTTATTTACAACATTTAATAACAGAGACTAAGAAAAAACTTTAAAAAAAAAAAAGTTCAGTTGTTTTTGGTTTGTTTAGCAAAAACTAAAAAACCCAGAGGTGATTATATACCACCAAAAGAAAGCTCTATCTGTCTCAAAAAAAATGATAAAAATGTTATATGAGTACAGTGTTGCATGACCGCGCAATTGTCATTCAAAGTGCGATAGCATTGAAAGCTGAAAATTGGCCTGGGCAGGAAGGGGGTGAAAGTGCCCGGTAGACAAGTGGTTAAGCTTTGACAATAAAACCTGGAATCTGATTGGTTTTCTCTGCAGAGTTACACCAGGTTTTGCACCCTACAGTTTTATTAAATCTCCCCTATAATGTCCACTTTTCCACTAAATAAATAACACAAATTATAATTCTTTAATACATTCATTCGCCTAAATAAAAGTGCAGTAGGATCCTAAACAATATTTCTATTTTTATAACCTTCAACATTTACCATCCAGAAAATAAAGTGAACCTATATACAAAACCCTATATTTTTAGTACAGTCAGTGATATGCAGAATCATCTGCATTTATGTAATTCAAGTTCCACAAGTATTTCCAGGTCATCTTAGGTCTATATTAATATTCATTCCATTGCAGTACAGCTAATTTAGCAGCAACATTTTTTTTTTTGTTTGATTTTTTTACTACTTAGCATGATACTAAACAGTATCCTTACAATATCCTTACTCTCAAAAAAGAATCCATTCTCATCCACTACTTAATGGCCCTGTAATCTAATTTTCATTAAATTGTTTCTTACTGTGTTTTTCTACCTTGTGGTAAAGTTTTTGTGAGCTCCTGAACCATTCCTTTTACCAATCACTTCCATTTGCTTGGAGCAAGAAGTGCACATTAGTTGCAGTCATGCGCACTGTCCTATGCAAACTACAAATCCCACAATCCATAGTTCCTACTCCATCTTGGGAGCCAGCAAGAGAGGGTGGTTTATCTCCAACATACAGTGGGTCCATAAAGAATGGACATAGCCAACCACTAACAGGGAGTAGGATTACAGCAGCAAAAAAGTGGAATGAGCAGATTTGGAGACTAAGAGCAATAGAGGGTACTTTTCCAAGTTAAGAACTTGAAAAGATTTTTTTTTTTTTAAAACCAAAGTTTAGTTTTGCTTATTTGACCCATTTGGTCTGTTAGCTGTACCACTGAAAGTGGTTCTTATATCTGTCTGATTAGTGAAAAAATACCTAGTAACCCAGACAAAAATCTGAGCCGATAACTTCCTGTGCTCTTAGGGCTCATTTAGACTTGTTGGGGGGATGTTAAAAAAGTGTGGCTGAGCCATGTTTTTAGTGTTCTCCCAACCTTCCCCCTTTATGCTGCAAAGACAGCTGATGGGGGGTGTTTACATGCTACGGTCACGATGCTTTGGACCTGCAGCCAAAATTATTGCTCTTGATTTGCTTGGAGAGTGGTACTCCCACCGAACATGACCCATTCAAGCACATGGGGATGCACGCCAAATGCTGCACAATTGTGTTCAATGCAGGTGGTTGCAGTTCATTGGTGTGGCATTTAAAACAAGCAGAGTGGAGGTGTCATATCTCCTTCTCACTACCTGTCAGGTGCCTCTGAAAAGCAATTAAAACAAGGAGCGCTTTTCAGAGGCAACACTGTTTAGATGTAAGTTTAAACTTAGCCTTAGTTTGTTCTAAATGTTATTTATTCCAAGCTCTCTCTGTGGACTACAGAACACCTCCCCCTTTGTTTTGTATTTTCATCCCTACATTTGTATTCTGTCTGCTGTGTGAATGAATACATTCATAAGAACTGATAACCTCCCATGGCTTCCAATACCACCTCTAAGCTGATGACACCCAGATCTATCTCTCCACTCCCCAGCTCACCCCCTCAATCTCCTCACGTATCACAAATCTACTAAGTGACATATCAGCATGGATGTCACACCACTACCTCAAACTCAATCTTTCAAAAACTGAGCTTGTAATATTTCCTCCTCCCCGATCCCCCACTCACGACTTTACCATTAAGATCAACAGCACAACCATTGGTCCTTCCCCTCATGCCAGGGCACTAGGCATAATCCTAGACTCTGACCTCTCCTTTGGGCCCCACATCCACTCACTGGCTAAATCCTGCCGCCTCAACCTCCAGAACATTTCCAAAATCCGCCCCTTCCTGACCAATGACATCACAAAACAACTTATCCACGCCTTGGTTATATCCCGCCTCGATTACTGCAACTCCCTCCTCACTGGTCTAGCGTTACACAGGCTATCCGCCCTTCAGTCTATTATGAATGCTGCTGCTAGACTCTTACACCTTACCAACCGATCAGCGACTGCTGCCCCTCTCTGCCAATCCCTTCACTGGCTTCCACTAACCCAATGTATAAAATTCAAAATACTAACCACAGCTTACAAAGCCATCCACAACACTGCCCCTAGCTATATCACCAACCTCATCCACAGATACCACCCAAATCGCCCACTCCGCTCCTCCCATGATATCCTCCTCTCTAGCTCCCTCATCACCTCCTTCCACGCTCGCCTCCAGGACTTCTCCAGAGCCTCTCCCATCCTCTGGAACTCCCTACCACAGCATGTCTGGTCAGCCCCCACCCTGTCTGCCTTTAGCCGATCTTTGAAAACTCACTTCTTCAGGGAAGCCTACCCCACCTCCACCTAAGAACTGTACTTGAATCACCTCCACCAGATCATCCCCCACAGCTATCACCTTTTGTATCACCTCTCCCTTCCTTTAGATTGTAAGCTCCACGAGCAGGGCTCTCACATTCCTTCTGCACTGAAATGTATTGTAATTGTACTGTCTCCCTTATATTGTAAAGCGCTATGCAAACTGTTGGCGCTATATAAATCCTGTATAATAATAAGAAGAAGAACAAGGCTTGTGGATCAGTTGATGATTTCAGGTTTTGCATTCAATATTGAACAAAATAGTAAGGTACACAGAGGTAAAATTGTTACCAAAGCAGCCTGTGTTTACGGTAGAAGGATCTTGCATACTCCTTTCCCTAATGCTAGCATCAGCAACAGATCTGCAAGTGCAGCTTGAATGGAATGACGTCTGTTGAGCAGCCCCACGTGTTTGCTGAGGTTACTTGTGATGCTCTGCAGCTGCACGCCAATGTCATTGGCTGTCACACCAATCGGGTTGCTGCTGTTTTCACCGCAAAGACACACAGGACACAGCTGTTCAATTACCAGGCTTTGCTGTGATCATCTCCCTGCACTGAGTGCTCACATTTTTTTCCCATTTATTCAGCTAAAGACTGTACCATACATATACTATCATACTAAATATCCCCTGACTCTATATTTTTATATAGCAAGCAAAATAATTTTTTAAAGGAAATTTCATAAATTACTGTGCCTTTACTGTCATAGCTGTATGTGTAATCAAACAAAACCATGCCAGTATGGATGAAACCCCACATTTTGCGAGAGAGCATATGCTTTGATTTATTAATGGGTACAAACAGAGAAAAGATAACTAAAATTGTACTAGTTGAAAACATTTGCTATCTCCAGATTAAAGTAGTATTCAGCCCAAAGCGAAAAAATGTTATATATTGCAGCTTACCAATTCTTAGATGTGGTGGATGCATTAGTTTTCTTTTTAGGCTATTTTCCCTCTGTTTTCACCTGATGATCTGGCCAGTAACACATCTCCTGTATTAGGGCTTGTTTATACTAACTTCAAAACATGGCATTGAACATGCTTTTTTAAAGGACTCTAAACACCTGTTACTAAATAAATTGGTATGCTTACAGTCCTGTTTCCATGTTGCGTTTGCTTTGCTTAGTGGTGCTTCAAAGCCTCCATAGAAGTCTATGACAAAGCTTTCGTGCAGCATCTGCAGCTTTTGAGAGGCTTTTATTCAGCTTTAGCTTCGCTTTGTTTTAGACGAAACACAGGTATGAGATATCAACACACACAGGGCATCTGCCAAGTTTCATTAAAGCTTCAAAAAAGCACCACCAAAGCATCATTGAAGCACCACCAAAGCATCATCAAAGCATCACAGAAGCATCAAAAACACATCAAAAAGCATGTTGAAGCAGTAGGCACATTGAGGTGTGTTGAATTTGAAGCAAATGTAAACGAGCCCTTAGAGTGCCTCCACTCTAATGGGTGAATTTAAAGTGATTGTAAAGCTTTATTTTTTGTTTAATTTAAAATTACTAACATATTATACTAACCTGCTTGGTGCAATGGTTTTGCACAGAACAGCCTCGATTCTCCTCTTTTGGAGTCCTCCGCCTGCACTCTGATTCTATGGGGTCACTTGTGCGGGCTCACTCCTGAGTGACTGCTCTTTGTGTGTCCATTCACACACGCAGAGCGTGGCTTGGCCCCATCCCTTGCCTCTCCTTACTGGCTGTGATTGACATCAGTAAATATAGGGGCAGGCTGAGGGATCAGAGCACCATACATGGGATCAGGGCACATGGGATCAAAGCACCTTACATGCGATTAGAGCACCTTACATGGGATCGGAACACCTTCCAATGGATCAGAGCACCTTCCGTGGGGATTAGGACATCTTACATGGGATCAGGGCATCTTACATGGGATCAGAGCACCTTGCATAGGATCAGGGCACCTTCCATGGAATCAGGGCACCTACATGGGATCAGAGCACCTTCTATAGCATTAAGGTACCATACATGGGATCAGGGTACATGGAATCAGAACACCTTCCAATGAATCAGAACACCTTCTAATGGATCAGAGCACCTTCCGTGGGATCAGGGCACCTTACATGGCATCAGGGCATCTTACAGGGATCA